AAACGGACGCGGAGGAAGAGGAAGAGGAGGAGGACGAGGAGGAACAAAAAGAGGCGGCAGCGGTAGGTGACGAGATGTGGACCAAACGCGGCGTCGGCGGCGGTAGTGGGCGTGCGCCGCGGCGACGGCGCGCGGCTGGGGCGGACTTTCTCACGCGCCTGGCCGAGGAGGAGGAGGAGGAGGAGAGGAGGAGGAGGAGGAAGGGAGGAGGAGGAGGAGGAGGAGGAGGAGAGGAGGAGGAGGAGAGAGGAGGAGAGGAAGGGGGGGGAGGAGGAGGAGGAGGAGGAGGAGGAGGAGGAGGAGGAGGAGGAGGAGGGAGGAGGAGGAGGAGGAGGAGGGAGGAGGAGGAGGAGGAGAGGAAGGAGAGAGGAGGATAACGAGGAGGAGGAGAACGAGGAGGAGGAAACGAGGAGGAGGAGGAGGAGGAGGAGGAGGAGGGCACCCCCACCCGAGAGCGCTCCGATGCTGCTTATTGTCCGAGTGCCTCTCCGACGGGCGCACCGGGCGTGGGGCGCTCCATCCTTTTTGGTGGAAGCCGTTGCCCGCTTGGGAACGCGGAAAGGAAAGACATGCAAGGGCCGGCGGGCGAACAGCGAGGGTCACGCGTGCACGCTAGAGCCAAAATGACTCGGACGGCGCAGCGCGTGTCTGTGCCCGCCGCATGATGCCCTAAGTGCCCCTCGCAATACACATAATGCCCATGGCACTGGCGCCCCCACTCGAGAGCGCTCCGATGCTGCTTATTGTCCGACCGCCAGCCGGCACCTCGTCGCAGCCCCTGGGAAGAACGGGCGCATGCGGCAGACTCGGCGCCCCTGGATCAAGCGCATGCGCAGCCAGCCCGAACTTCCAGCCACGCCGCGTCGATCAGGCAGCTGCTGGCATGGCGGGCGGTCCCAGGATTGCGTGCGCCACGCCCGAGTCGCAGTTCAACACCTGCCCAGAGCTGTTGCTCCTGGCGCAAGCAGACGGGCGCCGCCCGTTCGCCTCCTGGCGGACAACGGCGTCGAACAACTCGCGGCGCAGCGACTGGCGCCCCGCCTCAGAGCTCACCTTGCTGAGGACCATCTCCACGGGCCTGTCCGGCGTGGGTCGGCCGCGGCGATGCTCTGCGAGCTCTGCCCGCACGTCTGCGACCTGGCCCAGCGCGGACTCGCGGTCGACGTCGCTGCCCGCGCGCGCGGCCCATTCCGCCGCCACCTCCAGAGATGTCCCCCGCGCGCACCCCTGGGTGGAAGATGGGCTCCGCCGTCCGAGGAGCTGCGCTGACCGCAAAACGACCCCGAGGCGCGCCAGGCCTTGCGCCCCGGCGGGCGGGGGGCCGTGGCCCCAGACGCGCCCGGAACCATCTGGGGCAGTCGCTGGAACGCCGAGCTTGGTCGCCGCGCAGACCACGGTCGCGGCCGTCGCCTTTTTACTGACCACATTCCCCGCCTCGCTGGGGAAAGGAGGGAGGTCGCGATCCGCGACGCCCCTATGCCACCGCTCGGGGAGCTTCCGCTGCAGCAGTAGGATCCGGCCCCAGGTGGCATGCGACGCGCGCGACGGACGAAGGTCGACATGGGGCGCAGGAGCAGCCGCGCGCCTGAGCGACGCCAAGCGCGGCCACGTCAGCTTTCGACGCTGGCAGGTGCCGAGCGGCATGCGGGCGGTCGCCGCGCGCGAGCTCAATGAGTCACGCTCTGGCGTCTGAGAGCTCGACCTCACGGGTCATCCACCACGCCCCGGCCACCATGGCATTCCACGGGCCGATGGGGAAACCGTCGCACCAGGCGCCGCGGCCCCCGGGGAGCTCGCCCAACCGCTCGACAGGCAAAGCGCGCGCCGTGACAGCGGGGCCCATGCCGCGCTGGCAGGACCGCGGGATTCGATGACCAGGTCTTGATTGAACTTGCGTGCCTCGGCGTAGCGAATGTGAGATGGGCGCGGTATCTCGCCGGCGATGGGCGCGCCCATCTCTGCCATGTTGAACCCGCCACTGCAGAAACTGCGCGCCAACGTGCGCAGGTGGGGGGGGATTTTGCCACCGCCGTGCCTGTGCCGTGGGTGCACGGCCGCAAAACGCCCATTCGTCAACTGGCGGCCAACAGACCCTCTTTCCGCAACAGTGTCACCGCCTGGTCGCGCAACTGGAGGATCGGGTGGCAATAGCTCAACGTGTACTTCTTAATGGTCGCGTTGATCTCCTCCTGGACGCGTTCCATGCGCGCTCGGCAATGCCCCGCTGCTCGAAACGCAAGGCGGGGGCGGCTGCGCTAAACGCAAGACGGGGCGCCTGGGACAAGTTGGTCTGGAGCGGCGGCGGCGGCAATGCGCCGCCAAGGCCCCCGCCCAACAATTGTCAGATCGGCGGGCCCGGGGCCCCGAGGTTTTCGATTGGGTTTAGGGTCAACGGCATTGCTGTCCTAAAATTCGTGGGCCTCGGGCCCTCAGAATGTCAGGGCGTTGGCAATTTTGGCATTGGTGTCGGGAATCGTGGACAACGCGCGCTCTGCACTTGTGTTACCATATGCTTGCACATACGCGAACCCATAAGTGGCGTAAGTGGCGTAACGACAGATACGCAACATTTAAAACTAACCCGTAGGTGGCGTAACTACTTGCGCAAATCATTACTAGCTGGCCCTACTTATAAGCAGGTTCTTACTAGCGTAACTACTGACGCTACTTCTGAGCTACTTACGCTACTTGTGAGCTACTTACGCCACTTGCGAACTGCTTCGGAGCTACCTACGCTAGCTGGGAACTGGGCGAACTGAGCTATCTACTTATAAATAGCCCCGCCGCGCGCAGCAGGCGATCTCGCGGGCGATGTGGTTGAGCACGCCCTTGCCTTGGAGGTTGGGTGCCCCGCCCCCCCCAAGGCCGCGGCGCTGTCGCCCGCGATGATGCAGAAACATCGGCGCGTAACGGGTCGCCCCGCGCTTATAGCGCCAGCAGCGCCTCGAGGCGCGCCCAGAACGACTGGCACTTGGGGTCGCCCGTGCAGACGCAGAAGAGGTTGCAAACGTCGGGCGTCCACGCAATGGCAAAGCGCCCCGCTGGAGCACCGCGCCGGGTGCCGCGCCGCCCGCGGCGACGCGTCGAACTTTGCCGCGGCGTCGGCCAGCGGCGGACGCTTGACCTGGGCGCAGACGACGCGCCGGAGGGGGGGGCAGGTCGAGGCCCGCGGGGCCAACGAGCGACCGCATCCACCTCGCGGGGCCGCCGAACCTGCGGCGGGCGACGCGGCCCGGCGGCGCCTCGCGGCCCGCCGCTGCGGCCCCGCAGAGGGCGCCCCGCGAAGCGTCCGCAGACGGCGCCGCGTCGGGCACCACGGATGAAACCCGCGCGCTTCCCGACGACGCGGCGGGCCGCCGCCAGCGACGCGTGGCCAGCGCCAGCGGCGAAGGGCTCGAGGAGCTCGAAGAAGTCCGCCAGGAAACCCGGGGCAAGAAGACGTGAACCTCGCCCAGCGCGATCATGGCGAGCCTGGCCCCGGCCCACTGGCGGTCGCGCTCGTGGAGCGCCCCTTCTTCCACGCCAGCGGCGCGCCGAGAAGGAGCCACCGCGCAAGCGCGAGGTCGATCGCCAGCGGCGCCGCTGCCGGCTCGCAGAACTGGATCGTCCACGTAATGCTGTAGGCGGCCGGGGGCCGCGGCAGCGCGGCCCGCCTCGGACCGCGCGAACGGCCGGAGCAGGGCCTGCGCGGGCGGCGACGGACGCAACGCGCCCGAAGACGACGGGGTTGGGCACGCCACCGAAACGCAGCGCCCGCCGAACAACAGACCTCCTTCGAGCGCTTCCTGCGGGTAGATCGCTGGCCTGCCCCTCCTGGGCCTGTGGCATGTCGGCGCAGTTGAACGGCTGCTCGTCCGGGCGCAGCGGGGCCGACGTGACGGCGACCGCGAAGTCGAGCACGAGCGCCCAGGTCACGTCGCCCCCCTGCGCCCGGGCGGAGGGCAGCGCGACGTCCAGGGCGTGGTCGACGATGGTGGGTGGGACCTGGCGCTCGGCGAGGGCCGCCGCCGAGTTCGCGAGGTTGGCCTCGAGGTCCTGGATGACGCGGGGCTGTCGTGCCGTCGGGCTTCTCGCGGGAGATGCTGCCGATGGGCGCGGGGAGCACGAACGCGGAAAAGCATGATTCTGCCGCCGCGCGGTCCTCGGAAAGGACCCCGCCGCCCTGGTGGATCAAGCCGCGCACCTGCTCTGCGCCCTGTGGCCGAACCTGCCCGTGCCGCTCGTAGAGCGACGGGTGGTTACCGAGGTCCACCGCGCGTACGAGGACCTCCGCCGGGTCCTGCGCCGCCTCGGAGATGGCCGCGGGGAACAGCCCGCCGGGCCGGACCTCCCTCCTAATCCCCATCAGTGCCGCCCTCCACCAGCCCAATCTGCCACGGCCTCGTCGGGGTCCTCGGACTGCCGCCGCGCGGCGCGGGCGAGCTCCGAGCGCCACTCGGAGGCCGACGCCCGGGAGCCCAGCGAGCGCGCGGCGCGGCGCCGGGGCAGGCGCCCGGGGGCGACGGGCGCGTTGGCGCGACCCCGCGCGCGCCCTCGAGTCCCTGGAGCCGGGGCCCTGCCCGCGGCGCGCCTCGAGCTCGCTGGATTTCGCATGCCCGCGCGACAGGCGGCGTCCTCGGCCCCCCCGACGTTTGCGGCGGGCGCGCGGCCCCCGCCGCCGAGGACGCGCCGAGGTGCGCGGCCCGAGGCGGCCCTCTCCAGCAGAGCCATTGCGGGGCACTCCGCGGGGCGCAGGTCCGCGCTGCGCGCGGGAGGCGGCTCGGCCAGCGGCGCGAAGAGGGCGCTCGGGCCCAGGGCGCTGCCCCCGCGGCCTCGGGCCCGCGCCCCCCGTCAATGCTGATCGCAGGCGCGATGGTGGCCGCCGCAGATGCGGCGGACGTGCTGGCGGCCCCGCGTGCACGGGTTCTTGCAACCGCTGGGCACATTGCTCCAGAGGTGGCACATCTCCGGAGCCTTGTCGCGCGCGGGGCAGGTGCCCGAGCCAGGTTTAGTTTTGCTGCCCGCCTGCTGCGGCCGCCGCTGCAGCGGCGGCCGCGGCGGCGGGGGCGGCGCCCGCCGCTAGCCGCCCGACGCACCGTTGCCTCGCCGGGCCGCGCCGCCGGCCCGCCGAGCCCTGCGGGGGTGCATCCGAAGGGTCCGCAGCCCTTCCATACGGCGCGCCCTCCAGGCGGTTCACGAGGGCGCCAGGCGTATTGCCGCCGCCGCCTTTCGTGCAGGGCGCGCCAACATGTGCCCGCCACCAGCGGCCTATCCTGGTGCTCGCATTCGGGCCCCTGTATAGGCTGAGGCGTCGATGGCGCGCGCCCACGCCTGCTCGTCATCAGGATTGTCAGCGACGCATTCCTCCAAAAGCGCGTCCCACTCCTCGGACCTGACCGCGTCGTCGGCCCTGAGGATAACGCCCCAGTACGACGGGCACAGGACTGATAGCTGGCGGATGCCCTCCTCGTACGAATCCAACACCGAAGGCAGATCACGCATGAACGGAAGACGAACTAGGCCGACCGCCAGGCCTCGAAGTCCGAAGGGCCCGTGAGCATGCTCGTCTCGAGGCGCCTGTCGACGAAGGTCTGCGCCTCGAACTTCCTCTCTTTGGCCTTCCTGCGGCCAAACGGACCGAACAGCCCGAAGTCGACGTAGGGCGTGGCCTTGGCGTTCAGCAGGGCCGCAAACCCAGAGAGTTGCTGAACCGAAAACCAAGCATAATGCGGTGGCGGCCCCCCCGTGACCTGGATGAACCTGCGGCGTTCCGCAGTGACGTCGTCCTTCGAGAGGATGGGGAAGGTGCCCCCCGCGCCCTGGTCTATGTCCGCGAGTCGCCGTTTGTCGCCCGCGGCCGGCGAGGGCGCGGGCCCGTCGCGCGGGGCTCCGGAAGGCTGGGCTGGAGCCGCCGCCGACGCTGGCGCGCCCAGGTCTGGCGGCGGCAGCCCCGCCACGTCGAAGACGGCCCGGACCGCCCGCACGGCGCGGCCGTGAACGATGGGGGATGCAGGCACGCCCTCGACCTCGAGCTGGCTGAGCACCTCGGTCAAGCGCTAGTATGGGATGGCCACGAAGTCCGAAACGGTGGTGTCCGCGTCACCGCCGACACTGGCCACCAATGCCATGGCCAGTTCGCCCCCGAAGCCGAGCATCTCGAAGATGGCGTGGGGTGTGAGCCCAGCCCCAGACGCCGGTGCGCCCCTACGCATCGTCGCTGCCTTCGGGGTGGGCCACTTGCGGGAAGCACCCGCCACAGAGGGCGCCTGAGCAGGTGGCGCGTCGGCGAAGCTGCCGAAGTCCATGGCCACAGTCGCCGAGAAAGGCCCAGGGTGGACCGACAGGGACACAGCGAGAGGGCCACGCGTGCACGCTGAAGCCAAAGTGGCCGCGGACGGTGCAGCGCGCGTCTGTGCCCGCCGCATGGTGCCAAAAGTGCCCCTCGCATTGACCATAATGCCCATGATCGCGAGCACGAGGGGGGGGAGGGGGAGGAGGCCCCCGAGGATTCCACCAGCAGGGACCCGACCCTGGATATCGCCCGAGCGCATCCAGGAGAAGCGTCCCGAGGGTATAGGAAAATCCCCGCCCTTTTTCCTTCCCTCCTCCTCCTCCTCCTCCTCCTTCTAGCAGTCCCTGGCCTCTTCCACCATCGTCCCCGTCCCCCGCCCAGCTCCGACCCCCTCTGCACCCGCCCCCTCCTGCCCCTCGGTCCACGAGGCCCCACCTGGATCTCCACAGCCTCCGCCCCAATGCTGTCGCAGCGGCAGCAACGCAAAAACGACACTCGACGCTGCAAGCCGCGCCATCCAGCCTTCATGAAGATCACAACCGGGTTCTCCTTGACCGTTTTCCTGCGACCGGATCGCGCTGGCAAGCTACTCCAACACGCTCGTCGTCGCCCTCGGACCACAAGAAATCCCGAATCTCCGCTCTTGGCACATCCTCGCCGTGTTGCCACGATTCTCGAGATAGGATTGCCTGTCAGATTTCTTGTTCAGTCTTAGAGAACTGGCTCTGCCTGGTCGACCCGAGACTGATGTATAGATCGAACTGCGCATGGGCGCTCTGCTCAGCACGGGTATCGCGCCTGCCTGCATGCATGGATGATTGCATGCTCTGCAGCGTGCTTGCTTGCTTGTGTAATTGCTTGCGTTAGTGATTGGCTGCTTGCGAGATAGCTGGTTGGCTGGCTAGCGTGATTGTATCCTCGATTGCCAGACTGTATGGTTTCTTGCCTGGCTGCGTGCTTGCATCGCCGCCTGTTTAATGCCCCTGTGTTTGATTGGCTGCGTGATTGCTTGCGTGCGATCGTGTTTTCAATGCATGCGTGGGTGACTGTCGTCTGGGTGACTGCTTGCGTGCAATGTTGCGTGCTAATCCCCCTGCCTGGTTCTCGTTCGCGCACGAATGCCCCGCCAATCCACACGCCAGATGATAGATGCCATGCCGCGCCGCTCCCGTCCTGGGGCGGGGGGTAGCAAGTCCCGCAGGCATGAGAATCCAAGTCGGGCCGGCGCGGCCAGGGAGGGGACGTCAGAGCCCAAGTGCACACAGGAATTCCCACCCTCCCAACCCCTTGCGTCGTTACGGGAGACGAGCTGCCAAGGGCTCCGTCCGCCCCAACCTCCAGCGGCGAGCCCAGGTGTGAAGTGCGGGGGGGGGGCAAGTCTTCCCAGAAGGCCGGGGAGGGGCTTCTCGGAAGCCTTCGCGCCCTCTGAGAAGCCTGGCGAGCCATTCTCCGAAACCACCGACGGCTTCTGAAAGGCGCGAGGGCTTCTGAGAAGCCCCGCCGCCTCCTGAGAAGGCCTGCCCCCTCGCACTTCCCCCCTGGGCTCGCCGCCGATGACCAATGCGCGTTTCAGTCTGGCCCACGGTGTGCGCAACTGCGCACGGGCGGAAAGCGCGTGGGCCAAGAGAGTCCTGCCGACCATGTTACCGCTACGCCTCGCGCCCACAGCGGTGGCAGGATGAGCCGAAGGCCAGTGGATCCGCCGTCCGCTGTCGACCACAAGAGCGCCCAGCGTACCAAAAGAAGTGAAACTACTGGGCCTCTCCTGACGGATCTGATGGTCTCGGAGGTGGCACACGATGGACGATGGCCGTAAGAGACCTCGAACTCGGCCGAGATGTCTCCAAGATGGCGCGAAATGTCACCAAGAGTATTGTTTCCGAAGGTCCTTAATACTATCACCTTCCAGCGCTTCAGAGCGTCTACGACGGCACAGAAGGCCCCCGAGATCGCCCCAAGACGGTCCCTAAGGCGACCAAACTGGGGCCCAAATCTGCTCAATACGGGTCCTAGCCGCCCCAAAGAGACTCCCAACATCACGGCGTCGAGAGCCTCCCGACGGCCCAAGAACACAATAAAGCATGACCCACAGGGCCCAACAGGACCCCGGTATGCCCCCAAAAACGCCCGAAAACGGCACGTGTGATCTGAACCCCCTGTGCCCCCCAATCCATGTATGGGCGCGCCGCGGCATGCGAGCTGTCCCACTGGGGCCGTGTGCAGAGCTCCCCGTAGAAGAAAGAGGAATAGGAGGAGGAGGAGGAGGAGGAGGAGGAGGAGGAGGAGGAGGAGGAGGAGGAGGAGGAGGAGGAGGGGAGGAGGGAGGAGGAGGAGGAGGAGGAGGAGGAGGTGGGCACGACCTCAGCATGCCGACGTGGGCGCGCCGTGGCACGCGATGGCCCGGCACGGCGCCCCCCCGGAAGTGGCGCGCGGCGGCACCCGGCGCGGCCCACCGAGGGCCTATAATTAGTTGGCTCTCCCTGCTGGGGCACGATCCGCGTGCGGGGCGTGCCGAGAGGAACGCGCCGCGGCGGGAGGGAGGGAGGGAGATGGGGGGAGGTAGGGAGGAAGGGAGGGGGGGAGGGAGGGAGGGAGGGAGGGAGGGAGGGAGGGAGATAGGGAGGGAGCGGGGAGGGAGGGAGACAGGGAGACAGGTGGAGCTGCCGTGGGGGCACGATCCGCGCGAGGCGTGCGCCGACAGGGGCGCGCCGCGGCGTGCGAACGGGCCTCCTGCGGTGGCACGTGCAGCTCGCTTCGGCGGTGGACAGACCTCCCCTTTCGCATACCTCCATGTAGTGAGACGGCCTAGGACCGAATGACGGCCGCGACGCCCTCTCGCGAACCGAAAACGGCCAGTTCGCCTATCGACGCGTCAGGGTAGGAGGCGTACCAACCTCCGATCGCTGCTGGGGCACGGAGCGTGCGAGGGGTGCACCGAAGTGGACATCCGGAGAACAGGGGGCAGGAAAAGGAGGATCGGGGAGACGTAGGACTCGGGCACGGGGGGCTCGGGTTGGCCTGACGGGGCCATCATGAAAATTACGAAACACAATCTGAAATGTGGCGCGACCTTCCGCTGGAAACATCCCACGAAAACCGGACCGTCAAAATCCAGGACCCGCTCGTCAAAAATGCTGGCAAACCCGAGTTCCGGTCAGTCTCCTGGCCGCCCCGGGCCAGGTGGGCGACGAAAAGAAATGGGTCTTACGCGAGATGGCATATCGACCTTACGCAGTGGCTTACGCGGGTCGGCAACGAGGCACGCCACATTGGAAAAGAGGGCGCTTACACGCGAGCTTACGCGGACAGCTTACGCGCCAATGCCGGTGAAGATGAGGGGAAAGATTACGATCCCAGCAGGAAAGCTGAGTAAGAAACGAAACTGATTTTCTACGGTCCCACCGCGAGCCCGCTGAGGAGCCCCGACAGGTCCTCAGAACACGGGGAATCCAGAAGCTCCGCGGACCTCTGAGCGCCCCGCCCCACGCAGAGCGCACCCTGAAAGGGCGGGGGGGTCCCAGAGAAGCCAGGGGCCCGCACCTTGCCCAGGCCCACAACCCCCATCCCAGCAGGCTCTGGGGGCACGGGTCTCGCAGGACGCCGCGCGCCCGAGCCCCGAGAGGGAACGGCGTGGAACTGCACCCCGCCTGGGCTCGGAGCACACGCCCAGCCCGCAAGGCTCCCAGCCCGAAAAAGCGTGGCCTCCTCCTCCTCCTGCTCCTGCTCCTGCTCCTGCTCCTCCTCCTCCTCCTCCTCCTCCTCCCCGCCGCCCGCCTCCGACCCGCACCCCCCCCCGCCGCCCGCCTCCGGCCCGATGCCGGGCCCCGCCGCCCGCCGCCGGCCCGCAACCCGGCTGGCCGCTGCGGCCGCCGCTCCTGACCGCGTCCAGGGCCTGCGCGGCGCCCGCGGCCCCAGGCCCGGAGACGGGCGGCCCTCCTGCTCCCTTCGAGTAGGAGGTGGACTGCAGACTTGACCTACCCCCAGGATGTGAACTCTCGCCGCATCGATGCAAAAGTGTGCAGAAGGTTCGCAGATCTGCGAACGAACACTCTGCGGACTTTTCCCGCGGACTCGCCGAGGAAATCCATGTCGACGTGAATCAATTCTGTAGTCGATCTCGTACTCGATCCCTCGCACCCCCCCCCTCTCCCAGCCGACGGGGCTGAGCAAACGACAGGCACGCAGATTGATCGTGCCCAGACGACCCGCCTGGAGCAGCCCGAGGCACTGCGTATCTCCAGCCCCCCTTTCTGCAGCCCCCTGACCACCGGGAAGGGACACACATAGAGAGAGAGACACAGATCCCTGGATTCTCCATCTTTCTTCATATTTTCTGGTTTCTCGTCTGTCCCTCCACTTCCCATGTTCTCCATATTTGCCCAGGAATCGACGATTATTTGTGTCTGTGTGTTTCTTCTCCTCTGACCCACACATTGTTTGGATGGATGCCCCCCCGACCCTCTCGACCCCTTCAGCAAGGCAACAAGTTGCCATCCAGACGCGGGCTTTCGTTGACGATTCCGATGCCCGACGGTGGCCCCTCTGGAGGTCAACGTGGCGACAATCCAGCCGCTTCGATCTCAAGGAGGAGCTGGGCGCGGTTTTTTGACGGCACCGACTTCCGAAACTGGCCTCTCTGGATGCCAAACATGGCGACAATCTGGCCGCGTCGGTCTCACCGATCGGCGGCGACCTTGGGGGGAAAAGAGCAGGGGCGGACCTCCTCAGAAAGCTCGGAAGTCCCCCGGCCTTCTGAGAAGTCTCGTGAACCTTCCCGGAACACGCAGACAACCTCTCAGAAGGCGCGAGGGCTTCTGAGAAGCCGCGCCACCTTCTGAGAAGGCCTGTTCCTCCTCCTGCTCCTCCTCCTCCTCCTCCTCCTCCTTCGAGTGGGCTGTCTTTCTACCTGTCGAAGTTTCGTGCTGGAATCGATCCTGCCCATCGAAACCCCAAGAGGCTCACGATGGCATATCTGGAGGCCCCCACCTTAGAGACGAGGGGAGAGTGGGCCCCCTTTTTCTCGGCCTGGGCCCAAGGCCTTCAGGGGCCCCCGAGGCAGGTGAGGAGGTCTCGGGCGGTCACCCGCGAGGGCCCTGCTGCCGACCTGGTGCGAGGACTCGCGCTGATGGGCCTCCTGAGGGACGAGGTGGGGGCCCTCGGCGCGCAGGTCGAGGCCAGGCGAGCCCAAGGAGCCGAGGAGGATGAGGACCTCCTTTTCGGATCCTAGGGCGCCTGGCAACCCGTTTCTTTTGTTTTCGTTCGAATTCGGTCGTACCCTTCACGGTCGTGCGCGTCCTCCTCCTCCTCCTCCTCCTCCTCCTCCTTATCCTCCTCCTCCTCTCCTCCTCCCTCCTCCTCCTCCACCTTCTCCTCCTCCACCTTCCTCCTCCTCTCCTCCCCCTCCTCCTCCTCCTCCTCCTCCTCCTCCCCCTCCTCCTCCTCCTTCTCCTCCTCCTCCTTCTCACCCTCGCGCCGTACAGACCTCCCCCACCCACACCCCTCGCCTGCGGGCTCGAGGGTGGCTGGAAGTCTGCTGCGGCGGCCGCCCCGCACGGCCGGACCCACGAGCGGCAACGCTCGGGGGAACTGGAGGCCTCCCAGATGGGGTCCGAGGAAATCGGGTCGGGCGAAAAGGGGGGGATAGCAAAGGGGGGTTCGAGAATCAGCTCACGTAGCTGATTTTCCCGGCGCCTCCCGACGCCGGAGGCGACTATGTATCGAGGAATGGGCCCCTCGGTGGGGCCGAAACCAGCTGCATGCAGCAGATGTCGTAACCCCCCCTTTCCCAATCCCCCCCTTTTCTCCGGCCCGAGAAAAAGGGGTCGAAAGATCGCGCCGCATCGTCAATGCATCGCCGACGTCGGCGACGCATCGGCGACGCCGGCATGGAGAAAACGGGCTCCGCATCGAGCCTCATCGCCGATGTATCAGCGATGCAGCGCGATCTTCCGACCCTATTTACTCCGACCCTATCTAGGTGACGTAGGGGAGCGGCACTGGGGGGACACATCGACCTGGACTCGGCGATACTTCGCCGATAGATCGGAGATAGGCCTCCGATAGTGCATCCGCACGCTCCTGGGCAAGTCTGGGCCATCGGCCCCCTATCGACGATCAATGGGCGATTGGGGGTCGATGCATCCCCCCTATTCGTATCCCCCCCTGTCGTTGCCTCTGAACCTGGGACATAATCAAACCCTTCAAGAGCATGAGACCCTCCGCCGGCCAAAACAGAGAGAGAGAGAGAGAGAACACTCGATTGTATACCCTCTCCCAAAACTGCACGAGAACATCCAACAAACACGAAGAACACGAGGGTACACTCCTCGAGCCGACCTCGATCTTATGCCTCGGTCCGACCGTATAGGAAATTGCAGAGGGGGGCAAGTTCCGGATAGAGAAACAGCCCTGGCTCGCCAGCGCGCGCCCTGGGCTCACCGTGCTTCTGAAATCGCTCACCAGGCCCTGTGGGGGGGGCTGCAAGCTCGCGGACGCGCACATCGGGCTCGCGCGGCTCCAATCTAGTCTCCGAGGCGGCCTCCTGAAATGGCTCTGAAACGGGCCCGGATAACAAACATCAGGCACGTAACGCAAACACGTCCATGCATGTTTTGTGCATTGGTTGGAGCCTTCCCGACTGTTCTGCGTCCGGTAAGTTCAGGACGGGCTAAGACGGCCCCAAGAGTGGCCCGAATGGCCCCAGGATGGCCCCCCATGCCACATGTCCCCCACAAAACTCCAATAATCCCTCCCAGAAAAAGTTTCCCGGGTCCGGGAAAGGGGCAATACGAAGCGAGCGCCCGAATAAACCAAAGTGGCACCAACACGTAGACATAAATACACATGTAGTTTGATGTTTGCAAATACTTATATCTATACAAGTACGTATATGTAGAGGTACAAACACAATGATGTGAATCAGCCAATCCCGCAGGGGGTGGGCTACGTCACGTCGCGCGTGCTATCCATATGTTGCAACACCGTGCTGGCTCAACTAATCCAGCGCGCATGGACGCGCCGTCCTCGTGATTTTCACGGCGGCCCCGCAAGAGGCGAAACTGTGAAATTGGCATTGAGGGAAAAACGAAAAGGCAAGACAAGTCGGCGCGCAGGCCAGTCTGCGCACAGGCTGCTTCTCGAGTGAGAGCAGACCTTAGCACTGCAGGGATAGCTGGCGTCGCCATCCACGGCTACATCCACTCTGAGAGCGTCACAGGACGAGAGCGCGTTGCTCTCGTCGCACCGCGTTGTGTAGAACTCCATGCCTGAGGCCTTCATCATAGGTAGAGTTCCGCCGCTCCCATTCCCGTGGTTAGCTCTGCGTCGCCCGACACTCCAGATGATTGGTCTGTGCCGCTGCGGGCGTCCGCAGCACCGTGAGGATCCCCAAAGGCACCTTCGGATCTTCGAATGAATGTGGAGGATGGGGGAGTTTGGACAGCGCAAGGCTCAAATTCGTGATCTGCACGTCCGCGCGCGGCTGGAGCGACGCGGAGCAGGGGACGCGGGCGGCGCGGGGCGCGTCTGGGCAGTCAGCCTCGCACGAAGCGCTGCGCTGCCAAGAAACTCCTTCCCCATCCCCACCTCCACAAAACGACGATGATGATTATGATGATGATGCTGATGATGATGATGGTGATGATGATGGTGCTGATCCCCTTCCATTCCGTGCGCCAGAACATGCTTTGCTGAGAGGGGCGAGGGCGACCGTCTCGTTGTGCGAAACCGCGGGCGCACGAGCCAGCACCAGCAGTGTTGCCATTCTCGGAAAAAATCCCAACACTGAAGGCGAATGGAGGGAGGGAGGGAGACTTCAGCCGCAATGGTTGCGGCGCGCACCATTGCAACGATCGAGACACTCTGAAGCAATTCTATGATGCCTCTCCTTTCCGTGCGCCAGAGCAGGTTTGGCGGAGCGGGGCGAGGGCAACCACTTCGTCTTGCAAAGCCACGGGAACACGAGATCTGCGCCCAACATGCCTGCCGCCCCTGGCCGCAGGCCAAACACATTAACTTAACATTGGTACTCAATGCAAGCGCGCACCGAAATCCCGAGCACTCGAGAACATCTATTCTCGCGAAGGATTGCAGCACTGCTCGCCGACCAGATGGCGGCCCAAAAATCAATATCACGCGGGGAGTTGTTTTCCAGGCGACGGAACGGACGCCCAACGTTATCCAGGGCGGACAACTTCGCATGAAAAAGCCGATGACCAGAACATCTCCAGCTCTTGCCCGAGCACAAAAGACGCGCGGCAAGCAGAGGCGATGCAACACTCCAGGGCCGCAGCATGGTGCGTCTGGGAAGGGTGCGTCCGCGCTGGCAGAGGTTTCCTTCAGCTGGTTGCGAGGAAAGGGCGCGCGCGCGTTTGAAATAGGCCCCCGCGTGATGGGAAGAACTAAACGGGCACTCGCTAAGCACAGGGGCCCGCAAGCGATGGCACTCGAGGATCACGGTGACACGCGAACCCCAGAGAGCCCGAGACCGAGCGGCGGGGCGCCGGGGGCTGAAGTGGGAGAGGCCCAAACGCCTAAGACAACCGCGCACCGAAGCCACCCCAAGATCATTTGGCGCACCGCGGGCCGAGACCAATCAAACCCAAGATGCCGGCTGGGATCGAAGAACAGGGCGGCAAATCCTAGCGCGCGCAAGCGCTTCGCGATTGGCCGAGAAGCGAAGCCAAAACACATGGAGCCAGAGCGAGGCTTCGCCGATGCATGCCAGAAGGCAGCCGTCAGCGCCCGAGTCAGATAGTCGCCCGCCTGGCAGTCCGAAAGGGTCTCAGACGCCCGCGAGATGACGGCGTCTTCTTCGCGGTCATCTTCAGCGGGAAGCACTTCTGGAGGGCTGCGTTCTCGACGACGACCGAAGCCAGGCGCGCGTCCATCCTCTGACGGAAGCCGAGCGCCCCCACCGACAACGACGTCATCTGTCGGTGAAGCACGGTCATCCCGGCGCAACTGCGCATCGAGCAGTCAGTGATCCGACGCCCGCGGACTTTCACCTCTGAGAGCGCGCGCCCAGTGGCCAGCCGGTCGTCGCTGGCTGCGCTGTGGCGGAGCACGTGCCGCGGCGGCTGCGCCTCCAGCCCAAGGCGCTCGGCGGCCCGGTCGAAGGCGCCCCGCGCCTGCGCGACCTCGAAATCCCGCGCGCACGTGCTGTCCCACCGCGGACGCCGCGCAAAGTGGTCCAGCGCGCCGCTCAGCGCGAACGAGATTTGGCCCAGTGAGAACATCACGCCGACGATCGCCACCACCGCAGGGCGCGGGGTCGGCAGCCGCATCCACGGCGGCTGCAGCTTCTCCCCGCCCTCCAGCGACGCCGCTCGCGGCGGCCCTCGCGCCGGCAGCTGGCGCCGAACTGCCTCCGCGGTCACGCGGTCCGTCGCAGCGTCGAAGCCGCCCGAGGCCAGGTGCGCCAGGGAGGCCGTCAAGATCACGTCTGGCTCCTGAGCCGCGCTCCACGATGCGCCGCCCCGCTGGCACCAGCTCACTAGCCCGCGGGCGCGGGCCGCGAAGTGCTTCGCCGTGGCGCGCGCGAGGGCAGCCGCTTCCAGGAAGCTCAGGCGGCCAGCGCGCAGCGCCGTCAGCGGCATCGTCAGGCCCGTTTCGGACACCACCAGGGAGGCCGACCGAGCTGCCGCGAGCGCCTTCCCACGACGGCCCCGCGAAGAAACCGCGGCGCGGGGGGGCGCCCGGCGGGTTCAGCTCCGACGGGATCCACCTCGCATAGGCGCGGAAGCCCGCGGCCAGCGACAGCGAGGCGACGCGGCGCAGCGGCCTGGCGAGGTTGGCGAAGCGCCCGCGGCCCTTGCCAGCACTGAGAGCTAGAGCCAAATTGTCGACAAGGAGGAGAAGCCGATGACCCTGGACAGACCCCGTTCTGAGCGAGTGGCGAAGCGCGAACTCCATCGCGTCTTCCTCTGACTCCAAGATGCCCCCCCCCATGCGTGCAAACCCTGCTGGAGCGCGCAACCTTCCAATACTCGCCCTTGAGGATCTGTTTGTGCACCTCTGAGAAGCTGCGGATCTCCGCGTCGACGTCCAGCGAGCCCTCGAAATTGGCGACGTCGACGAGGCCACCTAGCTCACCGCGTACCCCAGGTGCACCAAGATTCCCGCCTCTAAGAGAAGGACCCTGGACAAGACCTTCAAGAAGAGGCTCATCAGCTCCATGACAAGGTTCCCTTAGAGCATGCCGTCGAGCTGCTATGGCGTCGGTGAACTTGTGCCTCGCGTTCTCTGCAAGACGACTTCTGTTAGCGACGACCTGAGGAGGTAGGTGGCGACGACAGACCCCAATGTCAGATCCCGGGGAATTGGGCGCCGCAACATCGCCAGCCCACGGAAGCCGGCAAGACGAGGCACACAGAGGAAATGTAGATTGAACCCAGCGGAGCTCCCTGAGGACCCCTTCCCACTACTTAGTAGGCTCCGAAGATCTCCCGCGAGCAAAGGCAAATGTCGCAGACAGCATCGATAAGGTGTCTCTTCTACTGAGCATCGCCCACATGATGTGACCAACAAGTGCCGAAAGAGCATGAGGGGACAATTTTCCCATGGCGAACCGCGGATCGAATGCCAAATCGCAGTCTTGCAAGGCGAGAGCGCGGCACTCTTGTGGATCCTTTTACTCCGTCAAGCTCCAGACCAGTAGAAGTCATGGCGACGCAAGCGCCCTGCGCCTCACGCGCAGGCGCGCGGTGTCGAGCGATGGCCCCAATTGGCTGCAGCCTGCAGTCGGCAATATCCTTCGAGCTAACAACCACGCGGCAAATGTCGACGTCGGCTGCCGCGGCCCAATCTGATGGCGACTGCAGCCTGAAGGACGGCGCGCTCCACGGGAGCTTCGCGCGCCAGGCGGCCCTGGGCGCCAGCGGGCGTTGGCCGCTCGCGGAGGGGGAAGGTCCCTCTGCGGGCTCGGCCACCGCCATCGGCCCTGTCTGGCGCGCCATGCGTGATGGGCCCGGCGAGAGTGGCGGCCGCAGCGCCCAACAAGAGACGTCCGAGGCGATCGGTCCCAGCTCGAGCCAGAACTTCTTCTTCAACCAACATGCCAATGGAACGGGGTGAAGAAGACGGGGCGGAGGAAGAGGATGAGCACCACGCCCTGCAGCGGATGCCATGCCGTCGGCGCTTGGCCGAGGCAGTACAACAGTGGGCCCGGAGCAGGCCCGAGGGAATTGAAGACGCACACGCTGCGGGGCAAACCAAAAACGCAAAAGCACGTGTCGTACCCTGCGCGCACCAACCACTGCTACGAAGAAGGACGTCGCTACAAACAATGTCGCCATAACTCGGCTCTCCCGCGGCCACTCGGGACGATCCGGGCACCCCCGCAACGCTCTCGGCGAGGCGCAGCTGCTGGGAGGCATCCCGAGGCTCGAAAACCGCTGGGAATCGACAGGACCGCCAGAACATCTCGAACCCCAGACTTCTGCTCGAACCCCAGACTTCTGCTCGAACCCCAGACTTCTGCAGCCTGATCATTCGCATGGGGGAAGCGGGTCCCGAGGGAAGGGGTCCTGGACCCTGGGGCCTCCCACCGGGACAGTCCTGGGGCCCGTGGAGGGCCACGGGACGCCCACATCCGCAACACAGCCTCAGGACCCGTTTCCCTCAGGTGAAGAGCCGACCGAACTCTACACACCGACACTTTTTCCGGCCCCGAACTGACACTCGCACAGGAGGGCGGATCCTGGTGTATACGGGATCCTGGTGTAAACATCTGTCTTCGTTTACCCGGGAAAGCGGGGAACAAAATTTACTCCACACCACCCCGATGTCGTCCCCGACACTCACACAGCCTGGGATTGAAAAACAGCTCGTCACTGGCAATGTACACGCTCAAACTTCCGATCAGGACCCGTCCCCCATGGCGAAACCATTCCAATCTTGCCCCTGACCCCTGCGCCGCGCCAGCCTCTGCCATGGAAGAGATGCCGCCCGGCCGCGCCCCGAGGTTCAGCGCTGGCTTCGCCTCTCGAATTCGCAGGCGAGCCGGTCGCCGTCGTCGTCTTCGCCGAAGAGGGTGGAGCACGAGGAGGAGGGCTTTCATCGGGGGCACCGGAGGCAAAACAACACTCCAGTGGCCGCTGGGCCCTTCCTGTCGCTGCGGCAAAGAAGGAAGGGTGGCTGCGTCCTCCACGACACCAGAGCCATCAGCGATCAGCGCGCAGGAAGAGGAAGCGGAGCGGGAGGAGCTGGAGGAGGCGGAATGGGGTGAGGAAGGGAGGAAATAGGAGGGAGGGGTTAGGAGGGAGAGGATAGGAGGGAGGGGGAGTCGGAGGGAGGAGGTGGAGGGGACGGAGAAGGCCCTCGTTCCACTTCCTCCCTCTTCTCTTTCACATCTTCCATCTTCGTCTCCTCCCCTTTCTTATCCGAACGGCTTCCTGGGTGCGAGCCGTCAGGTGTGCTGGAGCCGAAGAAGCGCATCGCCTTTGCCACGGTCAACATCACGTCATAGGGGATTGGTGCGCAAAATCGTGGACGGCATCAAGGATGCGGGATTCAATGGTCTTCCCTCAGGAGCTTAAGCTGGACGCGGAGCGCTTGAAGGCCCAGCGCAGTGTCCTCGCACTATGGGCGGCGGCTCGCAGGTACATGCTCGACGCTCCAGCACTCAAGATTTAGTGGAGAAGGGAGCGGGGCAACCGTTTGTGAGACCAGAGAGGATGACCATGAAGAGAAAATCGTGCGCGCATTTTGTCGCCTGCCAGGGCTCGGGGCCATGGCACTGCACAGCGTCCACCATGGACCATGGAGGGCAACTTCGACTCGCTCCTGTCCCTGGCGGCTCACACAAAGCGCGCGGGCAGACCCGGGACTGCAGGAGCCGGAGGAGAACGAATTGAGACAACGGGAGCTCAAAATCTGCTCCCGAATCCTCCTAGGGTCCAAGCGCACAAATTTTCCGAGCTGCGTTCGGTCGTGGCGACGAGAGGGCGAACTAGCGCTGCTAGGGGGCCACATCCTTGTTCCTTATTATTATTTACCCCCGCCCTACCTCGCATTCGGGCCGATAGCGACCCAATCCGGGACCTTCCTTCCGACGGAAAAAGTCAATACAAAGTGGCAGTTTTTCTTCTCAACATCGTCCTTCTTGTTGTCGACGATGCGAAAAGCGCGGCAGGAAAAGGACGCGGCGCACATCGCGCGCGGCAGTCAATCTGGGCCCGCCCACCCTGACTGTGAAAAATCAATACAAAGTCTTCGATTTTTCCTCTCAGCATGGCCTGCCTTGTCGCCGACGGGACGCGGCGCACATCGCGCGCGGACATCCATGCGGGCTGCGGGCCCTCCCATCCTGACTAGTGCTATTAGTACCATTACTACTACTACTACTACTACTACTACTACTACTACTACTACTACTACTACTACTACTACTACTACTACTACTACTACTACTACGACTACTCCTACTACGACTACTCCTGCTACTACTTGTTCTGCAAATTGTACTACCAATGGCATTACTACTAGTCTAGCAGTAGTACACGTACTATTGGCACTTCTACTTCCATAGTGCTACTACTCTGTACTACTACTCGTACGAGTACTTGTACTTCCTGTGCTACTTCTGCTTATCCTACTTGTATTTACTCGAACTACTAGTACGACTACCTATTCGTACCCCCACTATACTACCACTACTACTACTACTACTACTACCACCACTACTACTACTACTACTACTACTACTACTACTACTACTACTACTACTACTACTACTACTACTACTACTACTACTACTACGCTACTACGACTACTACTACTACTACTACTACGACTACGACTACGACTACGACTACGACTACGACTACGACTACGACTACTACTACTACTACTACTACCACTACTACCAGTACTACAGTACTACTACTACCACTACCACTACCACTACCACTACCACTACCACTACTAGTACTACTACTACTACTACTACTACTACAACTACTACTACTACTACTACTACTACTACACTACTACTACTACTACTACTACTACTACTACTACTACTACTACTACTACTACTACTACTAGTACTACTACTACTACTACTACTACGACTACTACTACTACTACTACTACTACTACTACTACTACTACTACTACTACTACTACTACTACTACTACTACTACTACTACTTACTACTACTACTACTACTACTACTACTACTACTACTACTACTACTACTACTACTACTACTACTACTACTACTACTACTACTACTACTACTACTACTACTACTACTACTACTACTACTACTACTACTACTACTACTACTACTACTACTACTACTACTACTACTACTACTACTACTACTACTACTACTACTACTACTACTACTACTACTACTACTACTACTACTACTACTACTACTACTAGTACTACTACCACTACGCGCCAGCACCCAGTTGCGCCAGCATTGTTTCTTATGTTGTGGGAGGGCGGAACGTGTCCGTTGTTCTTTACAAAACATGGCCAGTCTTGCCGTCGACGATGCGAAATGCGTGGCGGGAATGGGACGCGGCGCACATCCCGCGCGGACGTCAATGCGGTGTCCTGCGGTATCCTCCACTCGCACTTGAATGCCCGCCCAGCCCCCAGTTGTGCCATCACTGTTTCTTATGTTGTGGGAGGGCGGGTGGGAATGGGCATGCCATGCTTGACTCGCTCGAGCTGGCTAGCTTGATGCGAACCCTCCCCCTCAGAAATCGTGGGGGGTAGGGGTAGGGTTCGCATGTGGCCCCCCAGCTGTCTCAACTCGCCCTCCTCTTAATGAGGAAACCGGGGCCTGGACCCCGACGTGCTGGCGGCGCTCTCGGGACTCCACGCTGCGGGCGCGTGGGGCCACATCGGCACGGGAGGCTGGAGAGGGCTGGCGTGTCAGGCCCGTCGGTCAGACCTGAGCTCATGGTCCCGACGCGTGGCATCGTGGAACTAACTTTCGTCCAGAAAGGCCGAGGGTGCGTCAGGGGCGCCCCAGGGACGTTCCGCGGATCCTCTGGGGGGGCCCTAAGGGCCCCAAGGCCCCCCCGACGGTGAATTAGCTCCCGCCCAAGGGCTCTGGGCGTGCCTGGGCGACGCAGGGACGTTCTGTGACGAGGGCGAAGAGGCCGCCACCGCTACCTGCTGTTCGCCCCATCGGGCCGCGGACGGGGTCTGCTGACTGGGCGCCCCAGGCTGGCCTTCCAATGAGGCGTCTTGTCCACAGCATCTTCTGGCCCCGGGCTCAGAGAAGCAAGATAGCGGCGTCCTCCTCCTCCTCCTCCTCCTCCTCCTCCTCCGCGTCACTCTCAAAAGCCAATCGTCTCTACAGGCCCGCATGCGATTGTTTCACGCGCACCGCACGGCGCCGCCAAGGAAGCTCGGCCCGCCTGCGCGCCCCGACTGCGCCAGCGCGGGTCCGCGCCGTCCATGTTCTCCGGGACGTTCCTGGCGCAGGCCGCGAGCACTCCGATGCACTCCTCCTCCTCCTCCTCCTCCTCCTCCTCCTCCTCCTCCTCGTTCTCCTCCTCCTCCTCCTCTTCCTCCTCCTCCTCCTCCTCGTTCTCCTCCTCCTCGTTCTCCTCCTCCTCCTCCTCCTCCTCGTCCTCCTCCTCTTCCCTCCTCCTCCTCCTCCTCCTCCTCCTCCTCCTCCTCCCTCCCCCTCCTCCCTCCTCCCTCCTCCCTCCTCCCTCCTCCCTCCTCCTCCTCCTCCTCCTCCTCCTCCTCCCTCTTCCCTCTTCCCTCTTCCCTCCTCCTCCTCCTCCTCCTCCGGAGCCCAAGGTGGTCCTTGCTTCGGCGCCTTGATTTGGCGGCGTGCGCAAGGGGGTAGGGAGAGGGGGGAAAGCTTCTTAGAAGGAGGCTGCTTCTTAGAAGGTGCCGGCCTTACATCTGCAGACAAGGGCCGCGCCTTCTAAGAAGCAGGGGTGCTTCTAAGAAGCCTTCCCCCTCCCCCCCCCTCTGCGCGTGGCTGATTGATGGTATGTAAGCGCACGGATTGAGGATCCCCCATTGGACGAAGGCATGCGGCCGCGCATGTTTACCCTCGGGGTCGACAAGAGCAGGCTCCCTGCGTCAAGGAGAGGGGCATCCAGAGAGAGGGGACGGCCTCCCTGGAGGTCCCTGGCCTGCGAGGTGCCAAGGTGCCCCAGAAAGCTCAGACAGGGTCAAATCGCTAAAACAAACTGTACATATATGCATTGATATGTGAATACATGTGTATATATATATATATATATATGTGTGTGTAAATGTATGTGCATGTATATGTATAGATTCTAACCTCGAACCTCGATCCATCGTCTTCTCCTCCTCCTCACCCTACTTTCGAAATCCTGCCGCTGATGCGAGATCGGGTGTTTGCCCCAAGGAGGGCCCGCTCGGGCGTCCAAGGCCCTCATCCTCCACCTCTTCGTCGTCCCCGTTCTCTTTCTCCCGCTTCTCATCGTGCTCACCATCATTATCATAATCATCGCCGTCACGGCGTCAACAACGTCACATCTTCGACCGCCCCGTCGCCGTCCTCCCTCCTTCGACTCCTCCGACATGGAATGCCTCCAGGTCGCTTGCAGTCCTTGCGCTGAGGATCAAACATTGAGGAACCTAAGCCACTAATGGGAGTACCTGGGTTATCCTGCGAGCTCCTGGGGTTTACTGTGTGATTTGTTCTAGGCCTCGAAATAGCGATTGGGAATCCAAGGTGTCCAACTTGCACCAATATTGTTCCTGGGACCGTCTTGGTGCCCTCGTGGGGGTCTCTCTTGGGCCGCCTGGGCGGTTGAAGCCATTCAGTGCGCGGACAAGGGCGCACTGCGGGCTGCAAAGGGCTCCGTCGGATGCAAGGGCGCAAGGCGGGAAACATGCATCGGAATCGGCCGACGTCCACGGCGTACCACTATCGGGCATTAGTCGAACACCCACTGGAGGCCCACCAAATAGCGCCAGACCATATGGAACCGGAAGATCGCACACAGCACCCTTGACACATCGGCGGTGCGTCGGTGACGTGAGGATGGGGGAGAACGAGACCCTCATATTGCGCCCCGCATCTGGCTGCTGCGGCCCCATCTGAACGACCCAACATCCACCTATTACACAGTCGCGATCACGCATGCCTAGCGGCTCTGTCTGTATTTCCGCCTGCGTCGGAGCCCATCCTGCCAACAGGAGGAGACACTCTGGGGGGAGTTTGCTCAAGTGGGCGAAACACATGAAAACACCGACCTGGAATTGGCGATACAGCACCGATAGATCGGCGATTGGCCCCCGATAGCGAATCCGTACGATTCTGCGCGGGGGAAGCTATCATGTCCCTTCCGGCGAGCAGTGGGCGATTGAGGGTTGATGCATCTCCCCTCGAGCCTATCCCCCCCTTGCCCTTTGCAGCCTCCCCTCCAGAGCGCAGGGCCGGTCCCGGGAGGAATCTCGCCGCCACTGTCCACGTGCTCCTGCGGCCGCAGGACACAGCGGGACACGGCAGCAGGGGAGGCAGGGTCGGGGGCGTCCAAGAGGGGGGCGTCCAGGACGGAGGTTCGCGGATCGTGGCCCGAAGCGCGTGCGGCCCATGGGGGACAAGGGACGCATTGATGTACAAAGAGGGGGCCACGAAACCGTGGCCCCCGCCATGATATCCCCCCGTACGTAGTTGGTAAAAGATCGGATTCGCGCAAACACCCCCCCTTGATGATCCCAGCTGGCCTCGACAAGCCCCCCGCGTGTAGTTCGGGGCGTCTCAGCAATCCACCCCTAAGGCGCAAAGCGCCCCAAAGGCGCCGCCGGAGGCCCCAGACCACCCGGGAGGGCCTGCTGAAGCCCGCACGTGCGCAGCCCGAAACCTGGGCGTCACTGGTCATCGCCCCCCTCTTGGGCGCCCCGAAAGGGCACGAACGCTCAGGTGCAACTTTGCGGGGGGATCGGACCACGGGGGGACGCATCGACCTCCAGTCGCCCACTGGTCGACGATAGGGGCCCGATAGCCCACCCCGCCATAAAACGTGGGGGCACGCTGTCGGGGACCAATCGCCGATCCGTCGGCGATGCATTGCCGACTCCATGCCGGCGTCGTCCCCCTGAACCAATCCTCCCCTTATCTAGAGGCCTCCTCGCTGGGGTCCGAGTGGATTGGGTCGAAGGATCGCGCCGCATCGCCGATGTAATGCAGGATGACGATTGATAAAACATAGGGGGAACGATTTCAAAACATAGTTCTTTGCTTTATATATGACTGTTCAACGGGAGGAGGACGATTGAAACATGTCTATTACACGTCGGCTTCGAATCCTGCGTCGAATACTCACTTCACGTCGTCAAATTTTACGTTAAGTAATCATTCGACGTCGACTTCAAATTTTATGTCGAACACAAGTCCTACGTCGGCTTCAAGCTTTTACGTCAAATACTCGTTCCACGTCGGCTTCAGACATTGTCTAATGCTCATTTGACGCGCGCGCCCGAGGACGGCAGGGGGGAACAATTAAACAAATAATTTCCCAGCCCGCGGCCGGTTTTGTCTAATCATCCTGCGGGGCGCCGCCGACGCAACACGACCCCCAACCATTCGTTAATCGTCATCCTACATGATCGCTGATGCGTCGGCGACGTCGGCGATGCATCGGCAACGTCGGCGATGCATCGGCAACGTCGACGTGAAACAAATCGGGCTCCACATCGAACCGCATCGCCGACGCATCGGCGATGCGGCGCGATTCTCCGACCCCATCTGCTCGGACCCCATCTGGGAAGCCTCGAATATCGTTGCCCATGAAAGCGCGCGAACGGGATCGCGCGCTGGCCGGGGCCGTGCACGACATGATCATGCGTGCCCGGAGAGAAAGAGCCCTGTCGCGCGGCGATGCCCGGAGCCCCACAGCGCACGCCAGGGGGGGGATAGCGGGGGCAGCAGGCCACGGCGTCCGGGGACGAGGGGGCAAGGAGAGGGAGGCACGGAGAGGAGGAGGAGGAGGAGGAGCAGCGTCCCCAAAGAGGTTTATCAAGGACGGGGGCGGGAAGGAGGAGGATTTCTTTTGCCGCGGGCTGGAGTCCAGCGCTGGCTCCCTTACACTCGCGGCGACAAGGGGCCCGACAACGAAACGAAAGCGAGGGCCAACAGAAACCGACCACGGCGGAGGGACAGCGACCGAGGAAGAAACGAGGCCCGAAGCATCGAAGGGACAACGCACCCAAGCGTCGAGGGCAAGCGGCAGGCAAGCTGGCAAGCAAGGCAACTGCGCTGCCGCTGGTACCGCCTCTTGGACGGAATTCATAACACCAGGTCCCTATGGCAGCATCTGCTGCCAGACTTGTTTCCGCCGAGTAGTGCATCACCTCCTCTATGGCCTCCCCCACCCAATCCTCATCAGGTAAAGAAACCCACGAGCAAGCCAGACGCTTCGGGTGTCTGGTTCTGCCACGGCTTGGCACGCGCGCAGTGGACGGCGGAAGTCCTGAACGCTTCGGCACCCGTAAAGAAGAAGTGAACGTTTTGGCGCCCCTCGCTCTGGCAATAGTCAAAAGATAAGAGCGGCTTTGTCTTCTCTTGTCTCTTTGCGAGCCGGGGCGCCCAATGGAGGACAACAGGCAAAGCGAGCGAGGAGGAGCCCCACCCGCCTGCGCATCAGGTTTGTCCTCTGGTGTGCCTCCTGCAACGGGACCTGCAGCCTAGGGCCCCTGCGGATGGAAGCTACAAGCCTGGGCGTCTGGGGCGACACGGTGACACGGAGGGCGTCTGGGGCGACACGGTGACATAGCAGGGCATCGGGGCCCAAAAGAGAGAACATGTGAAGGGAGAAAGGAGTTCTGAGGATCAGCGTCCCAACTCTGGGGACGAGCAGGGAGAAGCCTCAACAAAACAGGGCGCGGTAGCTGGGCAGCAAACGTAGTGCAAGACATCACCCCCACCCACCAATGAGCACCCAAAGCCGCACCACCCAGGACATTGACGATGCCTCCTGGTGGTGTGCCAGGGAAGTTGAAGATCGATTTCATCAGAGCAACACCGATAAACCCAGGGACAACACTACTGGCCTTCAGGATACGTGGGAACACACACGTCCATCTCGGCTAAGGTGAGGCTCGGAACCCACTTCTTGACCTTCGGGATGAAAGCTTTGGACAGCGGGGTCGGAAATTCGCTAGCGCATGTCAACGTAGAATGCTTGTTTTGGACAATATTCGCAAACGCTTTGGGGGCAAACCAGGAGATACACACGGAGGCCTGGTACATCTCGAACGTAGCCATCAACATCGATTGTCGGCACACGGGAGGGGACTGGTAGGTGACGAAGTAATCTGCCGAGTCGAGGGGGGCCTGTAACACATCTCTGAGCGAGTGGAAGAGGTCGGAATGGTGGTCACGCCGCAGACGAGCAGCGCGACTCTGGATCTCCAGCGAGCTGGTCGGCACGCTGAGTCCTAGGTCCTTTCAACCTGTATAAGAAATCAAGCGAGAGAGCATGCCTGGGGCAACGTGTGTACAGCTGGTGAGCTTCTCGACACATACGGAGGAACAAAGTGTTGGATCTGCTCCATTGCCCGACACATGACGCCACGGGCTGGACATACCTATTGCGAGCAACGTTGCTCGTCGTATGACCTTCCCTCATGCATTTGACCACGTGGGCCCTGCTCAAGATCCGACCAGCGACCGATTTCCAGGAAAGGTACCTCTCGTCGTCCATCAGGGAGCAGCACAGGGATTTTCCATTGAATCTGGTCTTAAGCCTGGCAGCCTCCGCGAGCAGGTGGGGCGAGGTGAGGATGTGGATAACGATGCGCTTGTGCTGGTATTCTTAAAGAGGCCAGCCGCGCGACCGCACTTGGTGATGGCCATTGTCAGTAGCCCAAGAACATCGGGCATGCTGGCGGTCACGAGGCCAATGTCGTCGGCGAAGGCATCGATTTGCTAGTGAAGACGGGTGGGTAACACCTCAAGGCATCTAAATACAGAGTCCAGGCACACCGCGAGCACGATTCCAGATAATGGGCACCCCTGTTTGACACCTCGGAGGGCTGTGAAGGAGATCTCTTAGGACCCCCTGACCATGATGGTTCGAAACGTGTTACGATAGAAGGCGATGACGGCGGTGATGAGGAACTCGAGGAACCGATAAGCACTCATGACTTCACACATCAACTCATGAAATACAGATAGAAAGGCACCGCGAAAAGCGTGAAGACATTTACCGCATTTCTGGTGCCCGAGCACCGCACGCCAGGGCGGGATCCTAAAGTCCACTTCCAAAACATTGTCCGAAATGTTCCGGCCCTTGATGGACCCGCCTTGCGAGCGATGCCCACGATCGGCGAGGACTCGAGAGATCGGGGAGGCGACGAGGGAACCGAAGCATTTGTTGTCGGCGCTCGACAAAGGCGATAGGGGCGGGTCTCCTTGCTTCCCTTCATCACTTTCTCGGGATCAGGGGTTCCCCGTTGGCCAAAATGACAAGCTGGGCGGTATGGAAATCATCGCAGAACGTGCCTCCGGGAAGCACGTGCTCGTGCATTATGTGCAGGGCTTCCTGAACAACTGGACCAGCAGCTCTCCAAGCGCTGTAACTCAAGCCGCCGGTTCCTGGAGAAGAACCCTTTCCTCCGATGGAGGGGAACCAAGAACTGGTCAAGCGGTTCTTCCAGAGAAACATATTGTGGTAAGAGTTGATGTGCTGGTATATCGTTGGGGCCGGACAAGTCATGTCCATTGGCGGTCCCATCCTCCAACGCACCAAGAAGTTCCCCCGATAAAATGTGAAACCGGCTGGCACAGACGTCGGGGTCCGTGTGCGGGTGGCCGCACTGATCCACGATTCAGCCAAGACAAATAGTGCACTGCTTAAACTTCCAACCTCTGCCAAACCTACGGATACGCATCATGTGAACATCAGGGTTGAGATGAGACACAGCATTGGGATCCTGCGCCCGCTCCTCCTGGGCGGCGGGCTCCTGGTGCATGAGGGAGGTGAGGTGAGAGCGGAGACCTTGCCAATCGTTCCAATTTATGTTCTCGGGGTTGCAGAAAGAGGAGGGGATGGTGCAAGCGCGAACAGCATTGCCAGCAGCACTGTTAAGTCCAGTATGACTACTTTCAGGCAACACGCAAGCGTCTCGCGCAAAGATTTGGCGGCGGATTTCTACATCTCAAGCTTGGCATTCTAGCATGTTTCTTTGATCAGCACTCTGATACCCTATAGCTTGGTGGGAGAATCTTGGCTGAATTCTTGTCATTCGGCAAAATCCTGATATGACTTGGCAAAGGAAGGACGCATGAACAACCAAGTCCGTAGGTAGGCGTCTTGTTGAGGACACCATGGATAGAGAACGAGACAGACGGGGACATGGTCGCAGGGCACGGTAAGGTTCGTGATGTTTCAGGAGGTGGGCAAGAGAGGCAAAGGTCCATGTGATCGGCAGTATCTACGCTACAATGGACTTCGTCCAATATATCATGAGAAACAGACTCCGTAGGTTAAGAGGTAATGTAGTGGCCCGCTCCAGCTCTGCGCGGTGAGGAAGCTAAGAACAAAGCAGGGCAGCACGCCGAGGCGAGCGAGGACGACGAGCAGGAAGATAACGAAAACAAGACGGAGGAGAGGAGGGGGGCACGTGCTGCGAGAGACGGCGAGGAGGTGGGAGGTGAAGAAGGAGGGGGGGGAGGCGATGCCACGAATGGTCGAGATGAGAGAAGAGCAGTGCAGCGACAAGAGGATATGAATGGGGATAGAGCTTCTCGGCACCCTGCACCCACTTCCTCTCCCTCCTCACAGCCCTCACTGGACAACACTTTTCCCCCACCCCCCCTGCTTTGTTGTCGTCACGTTCCCTTGTCCATATTCCTCCTTCTCCCATGCCCCCTGTTCTAACTCATCCCTCCTGGTCCTCCACCTCCTCCCTCGAAGCCCCAACAAGCGCACGAAAGGCCTCAAGAGAGGCCACAAGAGACCCTGCACAATACAAATCATTGAAACTGATTTCCCTCCCCTATCTCTCTCTCCCTCTCTCTTTCGCAATCCCATATCCTCTTTCTCATCGCATCCTCATAGAAATGGTTCGCGGCCAGTGGTATTCTTCCTCATACCAGTGGCTCACGGCCAATGAAGAGGAGCGACGCGACCGCCCAAACGCCCCCCATTTGAGGCGCCGGCGGGCTGGGGGACTGGGTCCTTGATCCAGGCCTCCCAGGTAGCCTCGGCGGCCGCGGCTGGTGGGGAAACGAATCACGCGCGTGCGGGACGATACCCCCGTCCTCCTCGTCGTCCTCCTCCATCTCTTCGTGATACCCATGATCCGTACTAGTATCTTCCTTCTCGTCCTCCTCCATTTCGTCTGCCTGCTCCTCGTCGTCTTCATAATCCTTTTGTTCGTCCTACTTGTCCTCGTCCTCGTCGCCCAAGTCCTTCATGCAACATCGTCCTCATGCCTTTCCATCACTTCTCATCCTCAACTCTGCTCCTCCTCATCCTCCCTCCTACAAAAAGCAAAACGCGCCATAAACATAAACTGTTGGCGCTCGACAAATATTGTTTATGGCGATTGCTCTTCTTCGACCTCCTCCCTCCTCCTCCGCCTCTTCCCCGCCGATGGGCGGGATAAGGAGAAGCCACGCCCCGCATTGTTCTTGTCACGCACAGACCACCCCCCTTCGCGCGTGGTCGTGCGCCATCGGGGGGGGGGGTGGGAAGAGAAGGAGGGAGGTAGGAGGGAGGAGGAAGCAGGAGGATGAGCAACATCAGTCCACCTTGGCTAGCGGACGCGACGAGCCTTCTGCATCTTCGGGCGTGCCTCCTGTACTCTTTCTCCGTTTGATCACTGCCCCATCGTTCATCACGCCTGATTCGGCGGCAAACGAGGGGGGGGAAGTGAGAAAGGGCGGGCCTTCTCAGAACGCTTAGAAATCCCCCAGCCTTCTGAGAAATTGACTAAACCTTCCGGGAAGACATGAAACACCTCTCAGGTGGCCGGAGCGCTTCTGAGAAGCCCCATCGCCTTCTGAGAACGCCGTTTCCTTGTCACTTGCCCCTCTCGCTCGCCGCCGACATTTGAGTTGAATGGGTGTCACATTGCCTATCACCGGGATGGGCCGACCAACCGACAAGCAGCAGGCGGGGGAGGACACTGGCGAGGACAACGGAGAGGCGAGGACGAAGGAGGGGCAGAGGAGGAAACATGAGGAAAACACTGCGGAAAACGGGGGAGGAGGACGAAGGCGAGGACGCAGACGAACCGGCTGGACACGATGAGAAGGGCATCGCCTGCCTTTCATTCATTCATTCATGTCAGCGGAAACGCGCGTCAACGCCGCGCGCCCCAAACACCCCGCGGCCCGCCAACATGCGGCCCCCTCACACCTTGGAGGTGGGTGGAGAACCCTCCCCGGTCACGACTCCCAGAAGGGGAGGCCCCAGCCGGGGAGGCTGAGGGGAGCCCCCAGGAGACCTGCGCAACCAGGGAGGCACGGCACAGCCGGTCCCCCGGACAAGACTCCCAGGCGAGGGACCCCCGGCGGGGAAGGCAGGGTTGCTCGTCAAGAGACCTGCTCATCCAGGGGAAGGGACAGAATGCAGTTCCCCCAGGGCCCCGGTGCACCGCCAGACACCGAGGCACCCCTCTGGGGGCCATCCCTCCCTTTCCTCCTACTCCTTCCTCCTCCTTCCTCCTCCTCCTCTGCTCTTCCTTCTCCTGAGTCACTCGCATCCTCATATTCATCCTTCTTGCGCCCTTCCTCCCCTTTCCTTATCACCCCTCTTAAGCGAGTCGCTTGGGTGTTAGAGCTCGATGCTGCCATCTCCTCCCGCTTCCCGACCTCGCGCCTCCTGGCCTCGCAACAGCGCGGCCACCATCTGCAGCTTGTGGAAATCGCCCCCCACGAAAGATCCGACCGCATTGAATTGCAAGCGACATCATACTCAGAGATACAATCAACGACACAAACATAAACTTTCGGCGTTCCGCACGGATCTCTTGGACCTGCGCTGGACCCCCCTCCCTGGCACGCGGAACGCGCCAGGGGCGGCGCCGGAAGCGTCGCCGGAGGGGTCCAGCGCGGATCCAAGAAATCCGCGCGGAGCGCCAAAATTTATGTTTATGCCGTTTTTCTTCTTCACATCATACTGGGTCCCCGCGTTCCACAAAAAACTCCGCCAGGACAGCGCCGCTAGCTAGCGGTGCTAAAACTTCGCCCGGCACGCACCTGCCACCGGCAGAGGCGCCGTCGCCCCGCTCATGAAATCGCAAGCCGTCTCCCTAATGCGCGTGCTGATCAGTAGGAGCTCGACCACAAGAAGCCCTCCACAAGAAATCCGATCCTGAGTCTCCAGGGTGCCCATTGATTTTTGGTGTGGAAGCGTCGCGCTTTCCATCGCAACGCCACCAAAACCCAAGAAAGCCAGGGCACCCTGGAGGCGAGCAGGGTGTTTCTTGGCATGGGTTCCCACTGTATGGAACCACGCCTGCACATGCACGTGCATCGCCCCAACGGCTCCCATCGAAATGGGGTCTCACGTCCCTGGACAAGCTGCAAGGAGCGTCCCTGTTCATGGCGATTCGCAGCGGTGTCCGCCGCAGTGGTGTGCTCACAGACACGTTTGTAAGCAGAGCTTGTAGCCCAGAGATGGCGGACGGCACAAATCCAGAGATATCCATCATTCGTGGCGAATGCCACGTAACATCTGCATAAACTCCAGATACTGTGCGCGAGCTGTCCTCGTGTTTCATACGCCACTGCTGAAGGAACAAACGCTGCAGCCACGACGCCCGGGCTAGAAATAACAAAACTTCACCCTCCACACCCCAGCCTTAACATTGGCAAATACTGCGTTCGGGAATCTGGGCTCAATATGTGTCTCGCCCCTCTTCTAACGGAACACTTATTGCACAGTTTTCCTTCATCGGCATTGAACCAATTGCAGGCGAGCGTGGAATCACCAATGCAAATACCCTCGGTCTCTCCTGCATCCTGACTGAGATGAATCGTCATCTCGGTCGGCATATCTGGCAAAGGTACGACTCCCGCGCGCCTGGTCGGTGGGGCAGCTTTCACCGAGGTGCGCCTGCAGCTCTCTGGAACGTGCATGTTGTAGTCCTAGTATACGGATCTCCGGAAAACACCGGACTTGCCAGGCCACGTCTGCTATCAACCAGTCCACCCCCACGTGCTTGACAAAATACATCTTCCCATCGCGCCGACGGGCGCCATGGCTGGTTGTGGCACACCCCGATCCGCCGCATGCGCTTCGGGCCGCTTGGACTCACGGCCTGGCACCCTTACTACCAGAGCGTGCCCATCCATCGTGATACGATCTGGGGCAGCAGACGAAGGGTCAGTCTGGACGATTGGCGATGCTGCATCCCTGCCGCCATGCGCCACTGGCATCGCATCACTACCGTTTGGCAGCGTGTCTGGCGAGATTCCCAAACGGGCGTGCTGGGCGATGCGGGCGCAAAGCCGCAGGTGCGCTTCATATGTCTCGCCTGGCATCCGCCCTCGACGTCACTTTTTCCGGAGAAGCATGTTATCCCATGACTTCGTCCGAAGGAGCGTGCTCTCGGTGCATGTCCAGCAGCCTTTGCAGGCTTGCCCGAGCGCGCGTGCGGACTGCCTCTGCCGCGCTGCGACGTGAAGTCCAGCAGCCTGCAACGAACACTGCCACCGACCTGACACTGCGTGCGTATGCCTCCATCCAGTAACGTCGAGGAAAATGCTTGTCTAGGAACAAAAACAACGCGTGTTCTCAGAAGACTCCCGTCGCTCTCCTCGTCTTTATCCCTCAACTTGCATGCGGCTCGAGGCTGACCCTAGCCGTTTGAAGTGCCCTCACCCTGGCGCTTGTGGGACACACCTTGAGACAGGAGACTGTGCAAACACGAACGATTGATTTGAATTTCCTGCGCATCCAATCGGTACGCTTTGTGTGATAGTTGCCAAATCCCGAGTGGAAACACGTGGGATTCGATTTCCCCCGTCTGCAACAAAGGTGGCGGCGGCTTACAGTATGGAAAGGCGGGATCTTTCGCATTCAGCCACATGAGGTTTGACGAACAATGTGCAACATGATTTGACAGTCGATCGGAAACTTGCGATCTTTCCAGGACGAGCTGAAAGGCATCCGTCCCAGGGATCGGGGTGGCTTCATCAACTAACATCACCTGGGCGGCGTCCCTCCCAGGGGTGGAGGTCGCTTCACATACTACCCCCTGGGAGTACGTTTGCAACTCTCGGTCAAGGCAATTAATTCAATATCGTTGTAGAAAGCGTAGATGGTCTTCTTGATGTGTCAGTGTTTCCAACGTCGCCGTGGGTTGCCAGGCTCTCAGTTCGGTGCAGGAGCATCGGGCTGTGCATCTCTGTCTGGAGCGCGACACACAGTGGCTGGACAAACTCAACTTGTTCCGTCCCGCTGGCGGCGTGTCGCGGCGACCGCGCTCGGGCAGCCACAGCCTGGCCTCGCCACGTGCACTTCAGGCCGCCGTGGCGGAGGCGGGCGCCGCAGCACATCTGGAACCGCCACCGCGCGCACTGCATGATGTGGTTGGTGCAAGTCCGACTTGTATCCTGTCGAAATTATGGAGGCAAGAGGTGTACCTTTCACGTCCGCAGCAGCCCAGTCCGGCAGCGCTGCGCTGTTTCGATGATCTGGTGTATTCAGCGTTGCGGCGAAAGTGCGCATGTGAATCTCAGCACGGTCGACTCAGTGGCAGAATGCATTACATCCCCGCTCGTCTCTCCAGAACTTCTCGTTCGTCGCGGCGCTCGTCGCGTTCTGAGTGGGATGTGGGGTTGCCGAACAGTCATATGACTGAATTGTTGCCTCACTCACATGATCCTCGTCTAAATGCTCATGGCCACCTCTGTCCCAACCTCCCTGCCTCGCATTCTCGTCCTCATCCTCACACTCCTTCCCCTCATGGCCCTCCAGCCCCGTCCTCCTTCGCCCCCTGCGCATTCCCTCATCTTCATCACCATCGCCTTCCATCTATGTCCTCCTCCCCCTCGCACTTGCCTCCGCCTCTTCCTCCTGCTCCTGCTCCTGCTCCTGCTCCTGCTCCTCCTCCTCCTCCTCCTCCTCCTGAGTATCGTCATCATCATCATCATCATCATCATCATCATCATCATCATCATAATCATCATCATCATCATCATCATCATCATCATCATCGTCATCATCACCATCATTATCATCATCAGCATCACCATCATCATCATCATCATCAGCAGCATCATCATCATCGTCATCATCACCATCATCATCATCATCATCATCATCATCACCATCATCATCATCATCATCATCATCGTCATCATCACCCTCACTATCAACATCACCATCACGATCACCATCACCACCACCATCATCGTCATCATCATCCTCACCATCAACATCATCAGCATCATGATCATCATCACAACCACCACCACTGACATCATCATCACCAACACCATCATCATCATCATCATCAACATCACCATCAGCGTCAACATCATCATCAGCAGCATCAGCATCAGAACCAGCAACAGCATCAGCATCACCATCAACAGCATCATCAGCATCAGTGTCATCATCATTATCATCATCATCATCATCACCATCATCATTGTCACCATCATCAGCACCGTCACCATCATCATCATCATCGTCAGCATCACCATCATCATCATCACCCTCATCATCATCATCATCATCATCATCATCATCATCATCATCATCATCATCATCATCATCATCATCATCATCATCATCATCATCATCTTCATCCTCAGCCTCATCCTCGTCGTCGTCATCATCATCCTCATCCTCATCCTCATCCTCATCCTCGTCGTCGTCGTCATCAACCCCATCGCCTACTAGGTCGCCCCCTCTGGAAGCCCCCTCCGGAAGCCCCTCTAGAGGCCTCCAGAAGCCTCTTGAGGCACGCGGAGGCCGAAGAGATCCATATCAAGGTGAAGAATCCTTGATCCTCCCTCCGCCTCCCCTCTGAGGAAGGAAAACGTGAAAGAGGGACCGGCTCGGGGGGGGGGGGGGGGGGAAATCGACCTGGAATCGGCATCGCCGATAAGCCTCCGATAGCCAGGCCAAACCGTCCGTTCCTCAGCGGGGTGGGCTGTCGGGCCCCATTGGGCGATCCGTGGGCGCTTGTGGGTCGATGCGTGCGCCCCCCTGGGTGACTCTTCCTGTGGTGAAGATCGGAGCATGGCGAATTGAGACACCGGCGGCTTCAAGTCGGTCCCCGGGCCCCTCCCGCGGTGCGGTACGAACGTGCCAACTTTCCGAACTGCATCCAGCCGTGGTTGTATGAACTCGCCATCCTTTGAGAACCCTCGATCCTCCCACCCCCCGCGGGGGGGGGGGGGGCTGGACCTGCGAGGGAGCGGCTCGGCCTGCTCTGGCCGCCGCCCCGAGGCCAAGACGACGAGCGACGACGACGAGAGACGACCACGAGCGACGAGCGAGACGGCGTTGTCGCTCACCTCCTCGTCCTCCTCCCTATCCCCCTCCTCCCGCTCCCCCTCATCCTGCTCCTCCTCCCCCTCCTCCTTTTCGGCGCTGCGCGAACACTCAGTACGAGCCTGTAGCGTTCGTACTGCTCCTCCTCCACTTCCTCTCGGGTCGGGCGAAAGGGGGGGATAGCAAGGGGGGGGGGGGGAAAATCAGCTTACGTAGCTGATTTTCCCGGCGCCTCCCGGCGCCGGAGGCGGCTATGCATCGAGGAGTGAGCCCCTCGGTGAGGCCGAAACCAGCTGCATGCAGTAAATTTCGTACCCCCCCCTTTCCCAATCCCCCCCTCTCGCCCGGCCCGATCCTCCTCCTCCCCCCCTCGCATCCCCCCTCGCAACGATCACAGCGCTCGCCCCAGAGCGCCGCGCCCTCCCCCTCGAGGCGCCGCCGCCCCGGCAGCTGGCGCCTTCAGCAGCTCCTTGGACCCCCCGGGCATGTCCGCCACGCGCACGGAGGCGATGAGGTCACCGGCCTCCGCTCGGGCCCTCGGCGGCCGCTGCCGCCCCTCGTGGAGGCCTCCTGGCCGGGGTCCGAGAGCAGGCGGGGTCGGAGGCTCGCACCGTGTCGCCGATGCGTCGCCGAAGGAATCGGCGACGCATCGGCGATGCCTCGGCGGCGTCGGCGTGGAGAACAGCGGGCTCCGCATCGAGCCGCATCGCCGATGCATCGCCGATGCATCGGCGATGCATCGGCGATGCGGCGCGATCCTCCGACCCCATCTACTACGACTCCATCTGGGAGGCCTAGGTTCTCTCGTGCTTGAGTTTGGACGGTGGTTTTCGTTTCCCTCACTGCCCTTGTCAGGTATTCGTCCACCCCTACCAGTGATGCCCACTGAGGACCGCCATGAGGCCTCACACCCTCCGCAGTTCCCATTATAGGGGCCGCGGGGGGAAGATCCCCACGAACGTGGCACCGTACGTGCAATGCCAGGGGTGGCGGTCCGTGTTCCCATCCCACCGTCATGGGGGGATGCGAAATCCCTGAAGACGGGACGGGGTGGACACGAGTGGGCAACATCGCCGGCCCAAAATCAAAAAGAGGCAGCATTGCCTCATCGTTCACCTTATCATTGACTTCATTTCATGCGTAACATGCTCTCCTCCCACAGCGCGCCAAGGAGGTTCATTTTGCTCCTCGATCGTGACTGCCCCTCTCCGCATGCGCCGAAGGCCGAATCTGGGGAAAAGCCACGGCGAGCCTCGGTTTCGAACCACGGCGAGCCTCGGCGCGAGAAAGCTGTGGAAACGCCTCGAAGAACAACTTGCATTCTCCGTCAAGGGTCTCAACGAGAGGGACTAATGATACACACACGTCACACACCGCACAAACGGCTTGCATGACTGCTCATTTCATCATCTCATCTTCCAATCTTCATCATCTTGATAACATGCACCCCCTCATATCATCGTGTTTAACGGCGCCGGGAGAGGACACAGAGGAATGAGAGGGATGGACGGAATTTGATAGTGCTCATTAGAGTCGTGTGTCGAACGGTCTTACATTGCCCCTGGCTGCGCGGCTGAAATGAGGTTCCGCGGTGCCGATTCTTGCTGCGTTGTTGTCGTCACCAACGCGCCCAACCCCACGACACACTCCGCGACCCACCCCCGACCCTACCGCGACCAAGCCGCGACCCACCCGCGACCCAGCCCCCATCCACTCGCGACCCATCCCGCGACCCGTCGACACCTAGATGAACAAACATCGCCACCTCCTGCGGGCTTGCCTACAATGGCGCTCGGTGCTCAAACTCCGCTGCCCCGACAAAGCAACGAGCTCTCATCCGCGCTTGCCGGGGTCCGGGCATTTGATTCTCACGATGGTGGCTCTGACGCGAAGCCCATTCCTGAAGTAGTTCGAACCCGCATCCCTGCTCAGCAAAGTTGTCCCTGAACGCTGGTGTTTGGCAATGGCCTGTAATCGCTGGTCGTAGCCCGTGGCCTCTGGTCGTGGGCAACGGTCCTTGGATCCCCAACATTAGCATAGCTATGTCTCCGGGGTCAAGCATATCGCACAGTACTAACATAGTTGCTCTCTGCAGTGCTCTCTGTAGTGCTCCCATAAACTGTTTGGAGTCGTCTGCCGCCAGGCTAGGATGCGATGTTTTGCCTTCGTTTTATGATGCCAGAGCCTGGGCTAGTGACGGTACCTCAGTCGACACATCGCCACATGGGGTCCACCGTTTCACATTCGATCAGCGACGGCGCAACTCTAGAAATATGCCATGTGCATCTAGAGTTCCTAAGACTGCATCGTGCTTCATAAACGAGACAACTGAATTGCAAGCAAGTGTGCCACATGCCCGAATTGACTTACCATTACATGGAGTGCGCCAAGAACCAGAAAAACCTTTAGGAAGAGGTGGTGGCTCATCTGTTCCGTTGAAGCACCCAGGCCAGACACGATCACAAGTCTCGGGGCGAGCAAACGCCAATCTTAAGACTTGCGGATTGCATGCAACGCCGCCGAAATCCCAATCACGTTGGTGCCAGAAACATGGGCGCTCAGTGGAACCACTGATGTAATTATAGCCTGGTTGCCACTTGCACGCTGCAGCTGGGTCCACGTAATCTGCTGTGAAAACGGCATCCGCTCTTAAAATGATGGTCGCACCAGAATTTGACGGGTTCATGCCGCTCTGGAGTCGCAAACCGGCGTCCTTGAGCACTGTGTAAACAGAGCCACCATCGGACTCCAACAGCTCCGTCACTTTAGTAATACCTTCGGCGCGCGTGTCAAATATGTACCGCAAGCGAGATCCATACGTTGCACGTATCTTCTTCTTGAAGTCGTCCTCGCTCCATGTTTGCCATTCTTCCGCGCACCAATCATTAAGATCCGCCCAACGCGCATGCCGCGGCGGGTCTGCCGGGCGCTGTTCTTTTGCCCTCTCCAAGCGACAAGCAGTACGAATCCCGAATCGAGTCCAGCATGAGTCAGTTCTGTCACCACGCCCCAGACGTCATCATGGAAAGCAACTTTCCAATGCGACTCTCCCGGTGGTGAGGGGGACCGTTAGGGGGGACTGGCTCGGGGGAGACACCTCGACCTGACATCGGTGATGCACTGCCGATGTATCGGTGGTGGGCCCCCGATAGCGAGCCCACACCTTCTTGGGCGGAGTGGGTCATCAAGCCCACACCCGCGACCAGCTTGCGATTTGGCGGTCGATGCATCCCCCCCTAGAGAAGGAGCCGAACTCCACACACCGACGCCTCTCCTGGCCCCGCACTGAACTTCGCACGGGGCAGCGGATCCTGTGCCACTGGGAACAGCCCGCCACTGGTACAGTCAAAAACCCTAATCAGGACGCGCGGTAAGGACGCAAGACCCTCGGAAGCCGAAGTTGGGATTTTTGGGGCGGCGGACGACGAAAACCGTAAGGACGCAAGAGCAAGGAAGAGCAAGGACGCAAGGGTACCCAGAGCAGAGTCGCGCGTCCTTATTAGGGTTTTCGACTGTAACAGCCCGCCACTGATCTCGGAGGCGGAGGAGGATGGAGGAGGAGGAGGAGGAGGAGGAGGAGGAGGAGAAGGAGGAGGAGGTGGTGGTGGTGGAGGAGGAGGAGGAGGAGAAGGAGGAGGTGGACGAGGAGGAGGAAGAGGAGGAGGAGGAGGAGGAGGAGGAGGTTCCAGACTCCGATCTCGGGGGTCGACGCCTCCCCCCAGAGCCGATCCCCCCCTGACGCTGCCCCGAGAGGTGGCCAGCTCCGCCCTCCCCCCCCCGACAACTGCGCCAGGGTCTGCGCCCCCCGCCGGCCCCGGAGACGGCCACGAGACGCACAGGGGCGGCCTGACAACCCCTGCCTGCGGCACTGCAGCTAGATCGGGGGAGTGCCTGGATAACGCGCCCGGCCCAAAATCTCCGAAACAACTGTTCGAGGCCCCGCCAAACTCAAAACTACCTCGAACCAAATCTTGCTCCTCGGAAATCTCCCGGAACATCTCGCTGGAACTCTCTCGGGAAATCTAGCCCCGCAGAAATCTCCGTGGCAAAATCTCCCAGGAAATATTGCACCTGGGAGGTTTCCCGGAAAATCTCCCGGGAAATCTTGCCCCTCGGAAATCTCCGTGGAGATCTTCCAGAAAATCTTGCCCCTTGGAAATCTCCCTGATAATCTCCCGGGAAATCTTGCCCCTCGGAACTCTCCATGGAAATCTTTCGGCAGATATAAATGTTTGGTAATATCCCAGAAAATCTCACAGAAACTCTCCTGGAGCAAATTTCCATAAGAGATGTCCACTGAAATCTCCCACATTCCAAAACAATCGAATCAATCCTAACACATTCCGGAAACCCCGGAGATTTCGCCCCTCGGACATCTCCCAGAAAATCTTGTCTCTCGGAAGTCTCAATGGCAATATCCAAGAAAATCTTGCCCCTCGGAAGTCTCCCGGAAAATCCTCCAGGAAATTTCCCAGAACAAATTTCCAATGAGATTTCCACTGATAATCCTTAACACATTTCGGACACCCTGGGGATTTCGCCGGAGATTCTTGCGTGGGCGGAATGGCCCAGAGATTTCATCGGACATTTCCACTAGATTTGCCCTGAGATTTCGGTGGAGATTTGGCTTGGAGATTTCGCCAGGGGGATCTGCTTTGGAGATCTGAGGGGGCCCCAGACCTGCCGCCGGAGATTCGGGGAAGATTTTCGCAAGATGTTTGGCTAGAATCGTTTTAGACGTATCATCATGACTCCCTCGATCTAACACTACAGTAAGGCGAAGCCAACACAAGGATAACATCGGGTGTTGAAAAATCGAGAATCTCTGAAATCTGGCGGCTCTGGACGAGGTATCGGGCGCCGCGGCCTTCTCAGAGCGTTCTGGAACACTCTGAGAGCGTTCCGGAACGCTCTGGAACGGATCGATCCTCGTCCTGGCCCCGTCCAGTTACCCCCCCACACAGGGGATGAATACCCCAAGGGCCACCCCAGCAGGCCCCAGAGAAGCCCCACCCAGAGACCCCAGGAGTCGTCCTGAGAAAGTCCCCATGGGTTGGGAACCATGATGAACGGGAGATGTATTCCCCAGCCTCCCTGAGGAACACGTTGGAAGCATGGCCATTTCCTTAGCCACGGGCCCGAAATGTCCTGTAGTACACCGTGGGTTGGAAGACCGTCAGACCTCCCCAGACGCCGCCTGGGGCGGTCCAGGAGAACGCGTCTGGCGGCTCCAAGACGGTCCCAAGACCCTCAAGATGGCCGATGGCCCCCGTACAGTTCGAGGCCGCCCCACGGGGCCACCGGACAGGCCGAGACAAGCCCAAGATGGCCCCAAGACTCGCCCCTGAGCACCACCACGGCCCCAGGACTCCCGAAGACGACTCGAAGCACCCTTGAAGCCCGCCGAGAGGCTCCCGATGGGGTCCCACATGGCTCTCCAAAAGGCCACCAGGAAACAACTACGAGATCCCGAAGATGCCTCGAGAGGAAGCGTAACACTCATGCACGGACATCACGCCACAGCGTTGCGATGTAGCTTTATCAAGCGCGGTGGCGGATGTGCGCGGAAGCGCAACTTGATAATCCTTTTCTGTGCATCTAACTTGCAGGCTGGTGCTCACGACGACATTGACCCGCACACCGCATGACTCCAGGTCAGACAGCTGTAGCTGCTTCTGAACCGTCGGCCAGGTGCTCTGAAAATTTCGCATAATTCCGAACACGATGACGTCCAGTCGCGCATCGCTAAGGTGGCCGAACTTTCTCTTACATGCATCTGCGTCGTGTCCTTGAAGCCGCTGGCGCTCCTCCGAGGTCACATTGTCACCCCAGTCCTTCGCCGAGATAACCCTGGTGACCCACTCCTTCGGGTCCAATGTGCGCGGCTCCCTCGGGTCTCGACGCCCCCCACGCGCGTTCAGCGCGTCTACAGAAAAATACTGAGCGGACAGAAGTACAACTCGCAGGAGCATCGTAATATGTAGGAAACGCTACATGGATTGACCCATGCTCGCTTAGACTTGAGCCAGCATGGCTCGAGCCAGATGGTACGGACGCGCACGTCCCATGCGTGCCAGCATGGGAGATCGAGAGCAAGAGAGAGAAATAGTTTTTCGATATATATATATATATATGTATAGAGAGAGAGAGAGAGAGAGAGAGAGAGAGAGAGAAAGAACTTCACTTGAAAATAAGCACTAAGCACATTGAGAGCCCGATAAGCCTATGATGCTCGATGGAAAAATCATAAATCACCACAAGATCCGAACAATCTCCAAGACAGCACGGACAACCCATATTATCAAATCACGACACAGCGACCTACCCTGGCAACCCCGTGTACAACCCAGCGGGGATCTGGACAACCCCACCGGACAACCCCCACTTGGACAAACCCCCACGATCTTATTCTTCCGTAAGATACAAGACATGCACATTAGGAAAGAGAGAGAAAGGGATAGAAAGACACACACATAAGGACACGTTGGAGAGAAGGATGTCAGATGCCAGCTCTGAATTGTCGATGTCTCTCTAGGCATCCCTGCTCATTGTTACCAGGCTGCTTGCTCCAACCAACCGACAGGAGGGGGCTGGGACTCGAAAAGGCGGATACAGCGGCAGAGACAACAAACGTCAAGGCGGCGTAAGATGAGTGACAGACATCCTTTCCTCCACCACAGCTCTTGCCATCGAGCCTTCATCCCATTCAATTCTGGTGATTGGGAGCAGGACCAAACCATTGCTGATCTTCCTGCTCCTCCATCTCCGTCTCCTTCCTCTCATCCCTCCAACTCCCCCTCCTCTCCTGCCCTTCGTCTTCCTCATTCTCCGCCTCCCTACTTTCTCCTGCACCAAATCTGCAACGCCGTGGTGAGGGACTTCTGGGGAGGCGGGTCCCACACACCAGCCCTGTGCTTCGACCGGAAACCCTGGGATGCCAGGGGCGAGTCCAGTCGCCACTGGCGAAGGAGGAAAAGAGGTACGGGCAAGTCGCACAGGTAAGAAAACTATTGCCACACAGAACGAAGACAGCACGGAGCGGACGAAGCTTCCAAACACACGTCTTCTGGATATCCTCAGCGTCCCTTAGCTCAGTGTCATTGTTGTTAGGCCGTCTGCCCTGGCACCTCATGGCCGAGGGGAGCTCCAAGGGGTCCCGAATCTAGACCTTGCACACTCGCACACGCAACGGTGATCTCTTCACACGCACGCACGTAGCCTTTGCGGTCACAGCTTCCAACCTGGATATCTGGAGCTCTCCGGATAACAGTATGATCGGAGAAATCGCGACCCCGCGCCTCCTGGATGCCGATGGCCTCAGCGTGGCCAGCGACGCTCTTCCTGATGTCCCTGGGCCGTGCTGAGAAGAAACAAAAGAAACATTCCACATCACCGCAGCCGTCACGGCCGCCGCCGCCACACTCGCCAACCAATCCGCTTGCGAACACCACTTGCAACAACAGAAACACCGGCAGCATCATCAACAACAATCACAACGCGTGCGCGACAATCCTCTCTGGAGCTTCACGTAAGAGATCCGGCCCAATGAATAGTGGCTAGATGATGAACGGACGGGAAGGGAGGGAATGGTTGTGGACTGTAGGCAAAATAACCACGTGGATCCAGGTTCATCTGAGAGACCCGACATCTAAGACAAGCGAGGTCAGCGCAACTCGAGCATCTCCTCGCCCTGCCTCCTCCCCCAAACCTCCTCTTCTCCTCCTCTTCTCCTCCTCTCCCCCCTCATCCTCACGATTTCTCCTCTCCGACATCCTCATCCTCCTCCTCTCTCCTGATTCACTCGTCCAATGGTGACACGGAGTGTCGCGATACCGATTCCCAGCCCTCCTTTATTCTCCTCCTCTCTATCCTCAGCCATCTCCTCCTCCTCCTTCTCATCTTCCTCCACCTCTTCCTCCCCACTACAACCATTGTCCTCCCCCCCCTCGCCCTCCTTTCCTCTCCCTATCCTCCTTGCAGTGAGTTCCTCCTCGCCGCACCACAAAGCAATGAGGGGATGCTCCTCGACGCTTTTGCTGTTCACGGGGTATCTTACGTAACGTATGGCGCAACATATGGCAGGTGCTGTTTAGGGCCTCGTTGTGGCAAATGTTTCAATTGCACGGATGGGGGGGATGTTTAATGTTCAAAATCGGGCTACCGCTCTCCCACTCCCCGCCTGGACACGCTGGATGCTGGGTACGGAGATGGATCGGCTCCCTGTCAAACAAAGATCTCGACACATTCTTAAGACTAGAAGGCGGGCGCATTTCAAGAGGGCCGCCCCTCTGAGAAAAAGTGCTTATACGAACTTGTGAATGGGGGACTTGAGACGGGAGGGGTGTTTGTCCTCTGTCCCTTGGCTGCCTGCTGGTTTCCCATGCTGCTCCCTGCCTGCTGTCCTTCCCTCTGTTCCTTCCCGCCTCCCCGCCTGCCAACCTGCCTCGACCTGCCGGCCCTGGCCCGGAGCCTCCGCCTTCGCTGTGCGCCTGCTTCCCCGTTCCTCCCCTGAGATGTGATGACAACGACGCCCACACGCACGATCTGTGAACCAAGTGCTTCGGCACGCCACCAGAGAGAGCTGCTCGAATGGGCGCGCAGACCGCTGTGGCTGCGCGCGGGCCTGGGGCGGGTGAGAACCCCGAGCCAAATGCTGCGACGGCCTGCGCCGTCGTCGTGCGCTGGCAGCCCCGTTCCCCTCCCCCTCTCGCTCCCCTCCTCGGAGGGTAGAGGTCGGCCGAGTCCGGGCTAGTCAGGCTTCTTTGCAAAATCCTGCAGGATCCTGCCTGCAAGCAAGCACGGGTCCGTTAGAACAAGAAGCAACGGCACAAGCATAAACTGTTGGCGTTCCGCGCGGATTTCGTGGATCTGCGCTGGACCCCCTCCCTGGCGCGCGGAGCGCGCCATGGCCAGGGGCGGCGCCGGAGGCGCCGCCGGGGGGGCCCAGCGCGGATCCAAGATATCCGCGCGGAGCGCCAATAGTTTATGCTTATGGCGTGTTTTCCTCCTCGATGACTGCACCCTGCAGGCTCCTGGAAGATCCGGCGCTCTGACTGCTCCCCGCCTGCATCGGCTCCCGTCTCCCTGAACCCCGAGGGGGCGACGGGCCCAGACCTCCGGGGGCCGAAGACACGCCGGGCGTGAGGCCCGTCCTTCCCGTGCTCTCGGCCCCCTCGAAGGCCGCCCTCGGGCCCGTGACGGTGGGGGGGAGGTCGTTCGGAGAGCAGCTGGGAAGGAGGAGCTCGCCCCGGGGAAGCGGGGCCGAAGACACGTCGGGCGTGAGGCCTGTCCTTCCCGCGCTCCCG